AATAGAAGTAAATTAAAAAATAAATAAAAAAATAAATAAATGAAAATAGAAATAAATAAACAAAAATAAATAAATAAATAAAAAGAAAAATAAATAAAAAAATAAATAAATAAATTTTTGTTTTTTTGTTGCAGCCCAAAGATGTCTGCTGCATATTGCTGCTGGGGGCGGGAGGAACAGCCAGAGCAGCACTTGCTGCTATCCAGCAGTGGTGCAGCAGCAGCAGCAGCAGCAGCAGCAGCAGCAGCAGCAGCAGCAGCAGCAGCAGCAGCAGCAGCAGGAGGAACAGCAGCAGCAGGAGGAGGAGCAGCAGCAGCAGGAGGAACAGCAGCAGCGCGAGAAACAGCAGCAGCAGCAGCAGCAGCAGCAGCAACAGCTGCTGCAGCAGCCCTTCCATCACCAGCAGCACCAGCAGCAGCAACAGCAACAGCAGCAGCAGCAGCAGCAGCAGCAGCAAGTGCTGCTGCAGCAGCAACAAAGTTAGGGTTTTAATATTAAATAGATGTTATAAAAGAGCAGCAGCAGCAGCAGCAGCAGCAGCAGCAGCAGCAGCAGAATATAATGTTGAAGCTGTTGAGGATGCACAAACCCTAAAATATCTACATATCGATGTCATCGTAAACCCTAAACCCTAAACCCTAAACCCTAAACCCTAGATACTAAACTATCTATATATTTATTTTATAGTAAACCCTAAACCCTAAACCCTGAACAATCTATATATTTTTATTTTATAGTAAACCCTAGATACTAAACCCTAAAATATATACATATCGATGTCATCGTAAACCCTAAACCCTAAACCCTAAACCCTAGATACTAAACCCTAAAATATATACATATCGACTATAGACACTAAACCCTAGATACTACACCCTAAAATTTCTACATATCGATGTCATCGTAAACCCTAAACCCTAAACCCTAAACCCTAAACCCTAAACCCTAGATACTAAACCCTAAACCCTAAACCCTAAACCATAGATACTAAACCCTAGATACTAAACCCTAAAATATCTACATACCGATGTCATCGTAAACCCTAAACCCTAAACCCTAAACCCTAAACCCTAGATACTAAACCCTAGATACTAAACCCTAAACCCTAAACCCTAAACAATCTATATATTTATTTTATAGTAAACCCTAGATACTAAACCCTAAAATATCTACATATCGATGTCATCGTAAACCCTAAACCCTAAACCCTAAACCCTAGATACTAAACCCTAAGCCCTAAATCCTAAACCCTAAACCCTAAACCATAGATACTAAACCCTAGATACTAAATACTAAAATATCTACATATTGATGTCATCGTAAACCCTAAACCCTAAACCCTAAACCCTAAACAACCTATATATTTATTTTATAGTAAACCCTAAACCCTAGAACCCTAAACAATAAACCCTAAAACATATGCACATTGATGTTATCGTAAACCCTAAACCCTAAACCCTAAACCCTAGATACTAAACCCTAAACCCTAA